TTGTGTATGAATTAAATTGTCAATTTAAATTTGCTTATTACCTATCATGTCTTTTGGCCAAAACATTGTAAAATTGTCCTTGCCAATTTTTTTGCGTTGAATAGTATTGTATTGAATCTGCGATTACTCATTATTAGTTCATACGAGGGTAGGTAATACTTTTACAGTATTTTTTTATTTAAATAAATGTTAAAAGGTAATTTTATTTGTTTATTGGGATTGAAAAAATGCATTAACTGCATTGTGGTCTGGTTCTCTTGATTTTGCTAAATTTCCAAAAATTCAAAAAATTCTAGATTGTTACTACGTTATGGTACGCATTCAGTTTTTATGATACCTCCTTCATTTTTTCATTCTATTCAATTTTCCTCTCCTGAGTTTTTTCGATAGAATGTACCGTTTTTGACTTATTCACGATTTTTTCCGAAAAGTGCCGAAATTCAAGATGGCGGATTGTTTTTTCTAATGACGCAACAACCGGACGAATGGGGACTTTTGGTATGTTTACTAGGAGTACTAACGCTAACTATTTCCGATAGTTGCAGCTTTATAAAAAAAAAATCAGATTCAAAATTATTTGGACTGGCCTATATCGTAGTCTGCGACTGACGAGGGCGTCACATTCGCAGAGCCTACATTCCGTCTCATTGCTGAGTCCGATTTTGTTTATAGGTGGTATCTGACCACCCAGTGTCCCGTCAGGAGGCCTGTGATGGCTCTTAGTTGGCTCCTGTTAAGTTTTAGGAGGCCTCTTTGCAGTTTGAAGCACCTTGTATGAAGATCCTTGACTGTCTGAGGCCTTCCTGTTCCAGTCATTCATCTTGGAACCGGTTGTTGGACAAATTGAGTCCGTAGATAATTCAAATGGAGGAATTAGGCTTGTGCTATTACAATGTGACTTCAAATCTTTGTATGCACAATTCAAACAAATCGAGTTAAATATTTGTACGTTCAATTTACCCTCCGCAGAAATTTAATTTAAACGTCAATATAGTTCTAGTTGTGCCCTTTACCCGTCCTATAATGCAAGTCCAGTCCGGTCCAGGGCCAGTAACTGCAAACAAAGCAAGCATCGCATTAACTACTAAACTGTGCGAATCAGATGGCATGCCATGCGGCGTAATTAAATTGGATTCTGCACACAGTTTTAGTTGATAAATTAGCGCGCTACTACTGGGACGTCGGCTTTATGAAATCAATCACAGTGGCACCATATTGACCAGCGGCTCTGATTCCAACGAGTACTTAATTGCCTTAATTTCCACCAGCGATGCTGTGCCTACGGCTGCTGTGTTTGTGTGTGTTTATTTTTAAATTTTCCACCTGTCCACTCTTAATTGATGTCCATATACGGCCACACTAATTTTTAATCAATAAAATGGAACTTTGTGGAATTTGAAGTTAATTAAAGAGCCTAATCCTACAAAAAATATATGGACAGTTCGAATGAGTTCAATTTAAGAAGGCAAACAAAGTAGGTAAATATACATTGTGGAAATGGATTTTATTTTGAGAAAAGAAAAATGTCGTTTTTGGTTCACTTTTTCCAAATATTCTTTTCATGTTCAAATGTACCCCGTGGAAGTGCAACTTCACTCAAGTTTTTGTATCTCACTGATAGAGGGCGACACCATTTAGTGACACATCTCTCTGATAGATGGCAGAACTGTTATTTTACTTGAGTTACTAAAAAGCTGAAAACCAACCCAACGAGATTATTTCCCACATAACAAAATTGCATCCTTAGAATGTATTAAGAATGTTCTTTTTTCAGGAGGAATGTGCCTAGAATGTTCGCCAAAACCATTGCGAATGTCCTGAGAATGTTCTGAGAAAAGATTGTAGAAATACTGTTTGCAATACCCAAGAACCCACATAACAGTGAAAGAACATTCATATTCTCAGAATATTCCCTCAAAGTACTTTTTGGAATGTTCTTTTAGGAATGTTCAATGAATATTCTAAGATTGTTTCGATTGAAATATTCATTTTTGAACGTTCTATTTATGTACTAGGAATGTTGCTTCTATGCACCTACCTGAAAGATTGTGCTAAGAACCCACTTTATATAACAATATTTGAATATTCTCATACGAACATTATTATAATTTACCCTTAAAAATGTTCTTTAAGCTAATATCTCTATCAAGTATTAAGAATATACCTACCAAGTTGTGCTGAGAAGTTTATGTAGGTAGGTAACCATGATAAGAATATTTTCATATTGTTCACCTAATTATCTAAAGTACCTACTCAAAAATCTTAATTGTGCAATTAAACAATAATGCTCTATTTAGAACCTACTAAGAATATTATAGGTATATTCTTTTTCTTTTGCTTTGTATGACTTCCAAGAGAGGGAGCGACGCGCTATTAAAGATCTACATCTTGCCTCGCATTTGAATCACCTTGGAACCTGTTTCTCTCAGTTGGCGTGCTTCGACGAGAGCATAACAAGCTCGAAACCGGAGCTTTGGTTAAATACTCGTGTTTTCTAGAGAAGTTTTCCAACAACTCTTTCACTGCCTTTAATATAAAAGGGCTGAAACGAGCATTATTTGGAAGCGAAAATAAACATTCCCAGTATATCCTTAGAATCAAACAAGAATGTTATGTCTAGGATGCATATTGAGAATGATATATGTAGATATATTCTAAGAATATTTCAAGCATATTGGTATAATATTCTTTTGAGAATATAACTATAATGTCATAGAAACATTCTTTGAATGTGAGAATATAGGTACGTTTCGAGCATATTTTTAGAATCAAACAGGAATATTCTTTTAAGGACGTACTGAGAATCTCATAGGTATATTCTAGGAATATCCTAATGGATTTCCCAGGAAGTTCTTGAGTATTGCAAACAGTATTTCCACAATCTTTTCTCAGAACATTCTCAGGACATTCGCAATGGTTTTGGCGAAAATTCTAGGCACATTCCTCCTAAAAAAAGAACATTCTTAATACATTCTAAGGATGCAATTTTGTTATGTGGGAACTTCCTGGGAAATACATTAGGATATTCCTAGAATATACCTATGAGATTCTCAGTACGTCCTTAAAAGAATATTCCTGTTTGATTCTAAAAATATGCTCGAAACGTACCTATATTCTCACGTTCAAAGAATGTTTCTATGACATTATAGTTATGTTCTCAAAAGAATATTATACCAATATGCTTGAAATATTCTTAGAATATATCTACATTCTCAATATGCATATTAGACATAACATTCTTGTTTGATTCTAAGGATATACTTGGAATGTTTATTTTCGCTTCCAAATAATGCTCGTTTCAGTCCTTTTATATTAAAGGCAGTGAAAAAGTTGTTGGAAAACTTCTCTATAAAACACGAGTATTTAACCAAAGCTCCGGTTTCGCGCTTGTTATGCTCTCGTCGAAGCACGCCAACTAAGAGAAACAGGTTCCAAGGTGATTCAAATGCGAGGCAAGATGTAGATTTTTAATAGCGCGTCGCTCCCTCTCTTGGAAGTCATACAAAGCAAAAGAAAAAGAATATACCTATAATATTCTTAGTAGGTTCTAAATAGAGCATTATTGTTTAATTGAACAATTAAGATTTTTGAGTAGGTACTTTAGATAATTAGGTGAACAATATGAAAATATTCTTATCATGGTTACCTACCTACATAAACTTCTCAGCACAACTTGGTAGGTATATTCTTAATACTTGATAGAGATATTAGCTTAAAGAACATTCTTAAGGGTACATTATAATAACGTTCGTATGAGAATATTCAAATAATGTTATATAAACACAGTAAAAAATTGAGTGTTAACTTTCACACCCAAATAACACGCCATGTGGTTCGTATTTATCCACACAAGCGGGTGTAAAGAACATTTTGGTTTAAAGTGGTAAAATATTGGATATCTTTTACCATGTTGAGTTGTTCAAAAGCACATTTATTATAAAGTAAAAACTACACCCTCTAGACTTTTTTTTACATAATTTGCGTGTACAAATACCTAGTGTAGTTGGGTGAAATTAATTTTTCTAGTGTTAAAGATACTTTACTTACATGGCAAATCAGCATATTTCTAGTGTATATTGCATTATCTTTTAGTGTTTCGAACATTTATGGAGTATGGATTTTGCTATTTTTGTTGGTAAATGTACCTTTTATCGTAGTGTTAATATCATTACCCATGTGGCAAAATATATTTCTAGAGTGTAAAAGTACTCATTTTTGTAGTGTCAATATCATTGCCTTGTGGCTAAACATATTTGTATAGTGTAAAAGTACCTATTTAGGAGTGTCTCCATCGTTTTAGGAGTGTGGATATTACTATATTTTTGGTAAATGTACAGTGTTAATATCATTACCAATATTAACAAAATATATTTTTATGGTGTAAAATTACCCATTTTTTAGTGTCAGGAACATTTTAGGAGTGTAACATAAACAATAAGGGTTTTAATATACCTATATATATTGAACTAAAAACAAAACAATACACAAAATAAAAAAATAAAAAAACGTAACAGGTTCTATTGTATATAAAAAATAAACTAAATAGAGGTAAAGTACTCTTCAAGATATACCTACATGTACATGTATCATATCCCAAACTCGAAACTTCATTTGCGAAACGTACTTTACCTATACTATACATGAAGTATAATAAGGCAGCCAAATACGAGTTAAACAAATAATAGTATATTCTAAAAAACTAATAAAACTCTCTATTGACCAAAAAACGAAACTACAAAAAAATAATATTCAAAAAACGTAACAGGTTTTTCTTATGCTAGAAAAAATTAAGTAAATACTTAGGTATACCTCTTACTTTGCTCTAAGTACACAATCTTCGAGATATATCCTTGAAGTTTTCAAATTTTGTTTAGTGTTTGTTCTTGTTGACGCTAAAAATGCACACACACAAAAAACTCAAAATTGCAACCTGAATTGTATCCAAACGTCGGAACTTTAACAATAAATCTCGAACAGTTACCTACACAAAGTAGCCAGTCAAAAACAAAATATAGTAAATTTAGGAACTAATAAAACTCTATTAGCCTACAAAAAAAAATAATAGAGGTATACCCACACAAAGTAAGTAAAGTCGAGTAACTTTAAATCACAAATTGATATGTCATTTCCCGGTGCCAGAAGAAATGCGTTTAAATTAGTAACGAACTCCATTGTATTCCATGATTTTGTAATTAAAAAAGGATAATCGTCTAATAAGATAATTTTAATTATTTCTTGAAAAATTGGCAAACGATCATCATGTATGTTTACACAAATAAAAAACGATGGCTTATAAAGAAAACCGTACTTTAAGTGCTTTGTTTCATGAACTTTTGCGGAATTTGGAATGTCTATTTCATTCGTGATAATATCCTTATATTCGTAATCATTTAGGTCAAAAATAGTTACAGGGCCGACATTCATTGACATTTTATAAAGGTTTTCATTTTTTATCAGTTGACTGATTTGATGACGCATGCATAAAGTTTGGGGAATATTTTTAAAATTTCTTTATTTATTTATTAGATTCTTAAAATATCCGTGCTTTGCTTCAAAACGCATTGACCACAGATAAATAAGGGGGCCCATTTTTCTAATAGCATTCGGATAATGGATCATGATGTGATGCTTAGGAATAATTTTTCCATTGTATTTTTTTACAAGAGAATGATGCTTGAATATTAAATTCTCCAGAACGTAAGTTTTTCCGACTGGTATAATAGGTGCGAAACAAATATTCATTATTTCCAAAAGTAGAGACAATATATTCCATCTTTCACCACATTTTGGAATCACGTCAAATAAAATTAAAGGGAAATATCTAACAAGTGTCCAAGTTTGTGCCGCTCTTTCTCCTATGCTACTGCCAAGTTTCTCGATGTTAATAGGGCTTGGTTTGGTACATTGGTCAATAGAACCATAATTAAAAGAAAATATTCTCTGGTTAATTTCATTTATACCAAGAATTTTTTCAGAAACTAAGTATGTAACTATTAATTTAATTTCTAATTGAGCGACTCCCTCCAGAATATCGTGCATTATATCTATAGTATATATTATGTTTCCTAAGTTAAAATATTTCAAGTCATACAAAATGCTTTGTTGTTTTATACCGTAATAGTTTGAATTAGATAAAATTTCTGGTAATGAATTAAAAAAAAATTTATCCCGCAAATGGCAGCGCTCATCTGACTCTTTAAATATATCTTGGGTATCATTTTTGTGCATTAGACACGTTCGGCAATAATAGTTTGCGCTAAATGATTCGACCATACCCGATAATGTGTTACCACCAAGATTATCAAAACTTAGCGCAATTAAAGTACCCTTCAAGTGTTGTGGTAAAAATGAAACAGCAATGCCATCATTTTCTAAAACTTGCAAATCCTTTATAATTGGTTTTAAAAACTCATTTATAGAATATTTCTTTAAATCTGCAGAACAAATAAACGCTGCTACATTAATGTTGTCTAACTGACCTAAATACTTGGACGGGATATTTCTTATAATATAATATATGGCACCAATTTTATGAATTCCTGTCTTAGAAACTAAGGGAGAAGCACACTCAAATTCGTCAAAATACAGTTGAATTTGTATAGCGTTTGGATTCTCTTGAAAAAAAGCACTATTTTGGTAATATTTGGTATCATAAATCGACTCTATATGATCACTTTTTGCAAGAGATATGAAAGCTGGGGTGAAATATTTTTGAATATGTTTATTTTTTAGTAATGCAGATAAAGTATCGAGAATAGGAATGTATGTAAACGTATCTGTAACATTCTTCTCAAGGTAAGTATTGCTAATTTTATGAAAAACTTGGTCGGTCCTGACGCCTACTGCAATCTCAACAGGTTTAACAATATTTTCAGAGAATATATTTTTTATTTTATAAGCTGTATTACATTTTTCTAGAGAAGAAATTACTGTATTAAAAAAGTTATTACAGGCTCCTTTATCACTTTGCAGTAATCTTATTTTTTCAAAAATCAGGTTTATTAGTTCATCAACATTTTCAACTATCAAAACTATTGTTGAAAGAGGAATACCTAATGCCATTAAACATGAAATGAAAGACATTATTTGAATGTTTAAAGCGGACGTGCATGTTTCAAGATTCTCCCTAGGTTCTGTTTCGGAAAAAAATCTTTGTTCTGGGGCATCTAATATTTCAGATTTGTTGTAAACTAAATTTGTTTCATCAATGTTTTCGAATGTAGTGTCCTTGTTAATGTTATCGAAATTTTTAGAATTTACATTATTTGACTGTTTGATAGTAGGTCTAATAACGCATTTTAATAAATGTTTTTTATAACCAGAGAATGTCGGAAACGTAGAAAAGCATTTTCTATCACAGCATTTCAAAATAGTCATGGCTCGAGACCCACTAAAATGCCAAAGTCGTAAATGTTGAAATAATTTTGAAATTTCGGCAAATTTGCGAAAACATTTGAAACACTGAAGCGTCATTCTGGTGCCAATTAATAGAATATTTCCCCAAACTTTTAGGCTTATTATCCTTCAAAATTTACAAGTCTGTTTTTTAATTCCCTCATTTTTGCAGTATAATTTATTTTTGAAACGTCTATGTTGTAAAAGAAAGATTGAATAAATGAATAGAAAGTTTCTAATCCTACCTCATAACTGATTTTGAATACAAAATGGACCTTAAATAAAAAGTCAAATGCTTCTAAAATTGTGGTGAAACCTGTATCCAAGCACCTATTATCAACAACAACTTTGTAGTCATGTATGGCTGATTCTTTGGACCCAATAGCAATAAGATACGGCTGACTACCCTTATTTGCTTCTAGAATCTCCTGCAGAGGTTTTCCAACCTGAAAGACATTCAAAAATATCTCTGTAGAGTGCCAGCAAAAAGCCTCGTGAAATAATTTTTGCCAATTTTATTTTAATTAATAACTTAATAATCAAAATAATTTAGTAGGTAATTTATTATTTATAGAAATATTTTACTATAAAAACACTTTTAATAAAAAATGTAATAGGTATTTTAATCTTTATTTTGCGAATTAAATCAAAAATATTTTAAAAATCTCTTTTTCTTATAACAAGAATTATTACCTATCTACTTTTAAATAGAAAGAAGCATTGCAAATTTTATGAAATAATTAACGTAGTACTCACCGATAAAAAAACAATTAATTTTTGAAACAAGCAACTAACATTGTCGCGGGAATAGTTTTTTGATTTCCTTCCTTTGGCTGTGGAAGGCAACATATGGACCACTGAGAGTAGCGCTTTGGTGTTTTTTTCCCATGCTAAAATCAAAAAGTTGTTGTCAATAGCAGTTGTCAATCTATGTAAATTTATTTCTCTTACCTTCAATATGTAGGTGCTTATTGGATACTGTAGCGTCATAAATAGCTAAAATTTTATTTACGTTGTTTCTAAATTGTTCGGTGAACTTTTTGGCTTCAGGGTGTAAAAAATTGAAGTCTTGTTCAATCTAAAATGAGAAAAAAAAATCATATAAATATTTGAGGCCGCAAATGGTGTATACGCATACAAGTCCTGGTGTGTCCAAAAATGTAGGAATATCGTTGAGTGAAAAATCTTGATCTTTTCGACATTTAAAAGTGTTTGCCATTTTTTCAAATATTTCATGTTTTTGTGTTTTAGGGCAGGCATTTTTCAGAAACTCGATGTCGGCCTCTTCGGATTTCGTAATTGTGTGACGAAGTTTTTTTCTATTTTGGTCTTCATCATTAATTTCCACGATAGTAGATAGTTTTCTTTTTTTTGAGGTACTCGGTAAATTTCTAACCACAGTCCTCAAGCGCCATGCCAAATATCCACTTGGGGATTTCAAGGTATCGTTATAAAATACTTCCTAAAAATTCATAATTAAAATAAAACTTCTTGACAATAGCTCATATGCATAGGTATATACAGTGAAGACATGATGTCCGTCGCCCCTCCTCTGACTTTTGAACTCCTTTGTAGATATTACAGCGAAATTTGGAATGATGATATGTGAGCAGATTCTCCTTTTACAGAAAAAAAAGACACCTGCGCTGGTATTCTTGTTCTCGACAACGATCACCGCTTTTTAGTCGCTCGGCACTTCTTATGTAAATTCACATCAAAAGTGCCGAGCGACTAAAAAGCGGTGAGCGTTTTCGAGAACGAGAATACCAGCCCTGGACGCAGTTTTGAAACTTTTTTTTTTAATGGAAGGCGGGGTCGAGTGATATATCATTTAAGGGGTCTCTTTATCCTAAATTTAATCCCCGAGATTCTGGAAACATTTGGTTTAGCGGTTTTCAAATGATGACGAAAAAATATGGGGTTGTTTTGGTCATTTTTTCTACTACCATGCGTAAAGTTCTCATTTTACGCACTATTCAGAAGACGTAAAATTTCACTTCACGCACTAGTGCGTAAAGTAATTCACTTCACACACTAGTGCGTAAAGTAATGGCAATGACAGATGTCGACACTGTCAATTTAGTATTTTTCTGGTAAATTACTTCACGCACTAGTGCGTAAAGTATTTGGCTAAATCTATTTTTTTACACATTATTTGAATGGTCTGCTGTCATTTCTTTTTCAGAAAATGGAGAATTTGCTCACATATAAACCCTGTGTTTTTATTTTCATCAAATCTTACCGATGGATCCACAATTCTATGTCGGTCATTGTCATTTTCCATTCACTAAACAAAGATAGCTAACTCATCGGTGAAGCACCGATTAGAATAAAAACGAGGGGCATAATTCCAAATTTCGTTCTAATATACCGAGCGTCTCAAAATTTAGAGGAGGGGCATCGGACTTTATGTCCTCATCACTGTATGTAACAAAAAAAAATACATACATATCCTCCTTTGTCGCTGTCTGGATCTCTTAATTTTGGGAAGATTTCGATAATTGCTTTAGCAAATTCGACTTTCACTTGTTTCGACATTGTAGTGCCAAATCTTCTCAACATCATCCGAACAGTCAAATTCACCAACTCTTTTCTTGTTCGATTAGTCAATATTTGGTTTTTGGCGTATTCTTCAAATATATATCCGCCTCCATTGTTCAAAAGATATTCTTTCAACATCTACAAAAAAATGTATTTTTTTAACTTGTATTGTGAAGAACCCTTTCCATCGTATTGAGAAAATATACATCATGTAAAGTACCTGTCCGTTCTCGTATTCTGTATTTGAGAAAAATTCGTCATTCAGCTGATTCAGTTCAACTTTTTCCGTATTTTTGTCTGTTGTTTGAGGGATCAAAAATCCATCATTATCGATATTCAACACTACCACATTTTGGGTATCCTCATTGGGTTTATCAGTGTTTTTATTTAGCCATTCCACTACTTCACTTCCTAGTGGAGTATCGCTATTAATGGATAACGTGGAGTCCGAAGACGAAAACTTTTCATTGTATATTCCTCCAATTTTCAATATACAATTGTCTGTATTCAAATATTCCATTAGACAATCCTCCTCAATAATAGTATCTGATGGGTCGGTGAAAAAAATTGGTGTTTCACCATCAATATTAAATTTTGTTTATGCTGTGAAAAAAATCATTATTTGAATTTTATTTATTTATTATAGCGTCATACCAAAATTCAAAAAATTAGTCTTTCATAATAAGATACCTACGTTTAGTAAATCCAGAAAAAGTCTAGAAATCTCTGCTACACATTACCGATTGTTTAACAACAAATATCTATTTTAATTTGAATCCAACATGAAAGAGGCGCCACCAGAACCTCATGCACTGACATGGTTGAAAATGTTGAAATACTTAAATAAAAACAAAAAATTACTTACCCAATTCGACTACATCCGCGTAAGTAGCCCCTTCATTAATTTTTGCATATTTCGATTTATTAGCCAGTTGTATCTTGAATATCATTGTAAATAAAATAAAACAAAAACTAGTTAACACATGAAATAGGAAGCACCGCACCACTAAACGAAACGTACCCGATGATAAATGGAAATGGACGCTCCTCTCCCGTCCGAAATTCTGTCACCTGTTGCGGGCGACTCAAAACACTGAAGGGTGTAAAAGAAACAAATATCGGTGTCTTTCACACGCTTAGGTGTTAGTAAGACGTAAAGTTGGTATTAGACATCCTTTTAAAGGTATGTTTACACCAGCCAAACGATTTCCAACCAGTTTAAAATGATTTCCACACTATAGAAATCAAATTCACCACTTTTAAAGTTTAATTGACACTAATAAAATAAATGGATCTGAGTGTGTAAAAAAACTATATGGGTGTCTTCGTTACACGTATATGTGTTGATAAGCCACCAGATTGGTGTAATACATTTTTGTAAGGGTATATTTTCACTGATCAAATTGTCTCTAACCAATTTAAAATGATTTCCACACCCTTCACATCATATTAAAAAAATAATAAGATCTAATTGACACTGAAACACATAAATAGTCTGCGTGTTAATTTTTGTAGTCAATTTCATTCTCCTGGGTGTTAAATTTTACACTCCGCTATTTAACCACATCAAATATCATTTTCACCACTACTGCATTTTTTACTGTGAAGTAGGTTCTTAGCACAATCTTTCAGGTAGGTGCATAGAAGCAACATTCCTAGTACATAAATAGAACGTTCAAAAATGAATATTTCAATCGAAACAATCTTAGAATATTCATTGAACATTCCTAAAAGAACATTCCAAAAAGTACTTTGAGGGAATATTCTGAGAATATGAATGTTCTTTCACTGTTATGTGGGTTATTAGAAAAAAAAAAAAAAAAAATGATTGGCAAATGCCGATCAGAATCCTCGATTTTTAGCGGTAAGTTTGAAGCGCGGGCTTCTCTAGTGGAATTTTGATTATTGAGCAGATTATCTTCTGGAGATCAACGACATCAGATCATTAGCAAATGGATAACGAATCAAAAGCCAATAATACTCAAAATTTGGAAATTTATAACTTCAGTTTCAATGTCGATATTGACTTACGGTTTGTTCCAGTCATTAAATAAAAACATTTATTAGTCTACTCAAGAGCCAGTAATAATCAATATATGGAGTTTTATCGGCTTTTGATTGCCTTTTTTTTCAGACAAACTGTCCAGTAGTTGCAGAAACAATAATAGTCGATATTTGAACTAACTCAGAAAAGTTATTCAAACCATTGTCAAGTACCGGCCAGAATCCTCGATTTTGAGCGGTGATTTTTGAAAACAATCTTTATAACTGACGTTCATATTTTGTTACAGATTAGGTAAATCATTCAAGGCTGATTAATGGAAGACTAAAAACACTTCAACTTTGAAAAACGAGCCACAAGTATTTTTTTTTTAAATCTAAAGTGATTTAGCCTTGTAGTCGAAGTAAAAACCTAAGAAAAACAACTACCCAAAATGGACCATTATCATATGAAAAGAAATTGTATAAATTGTATACCAAAGCCAAACTTACTTGAACCGTTAAATCCATTTCAACGTCACTTGCTTGTCTCCCGGACCGATTTTGAAAAGCATTGAATTCAAACCCCTTTTCCCGATAAAAGGGACCTTTAATTAAATAATTAGTCGCAAAAGGCTTTCCATTAAGCCGGAATAAATTCGCGCCGAGAATTATTATTATTATGACAAATGCACAAACAGGAGTGCCGAGAAACAATCGCGAAATTGGTTTAAGCGGTCCCATTGAAATTGTATTCATATTTGGAGAGGAGAACTTTTCGGCACAATGGGCCTAATGAATACGTAGTACGAAATTAGCTGTGTAATTCTATTGTTTTGGTCAAAACAGGATGTGGGAGTTAGGTGAGCTTGAATTATTCCAAGGGTCAGTTTATTGTTGATTCTGGGTTCAAGAAAGTGTTAATTCCTAAAATAATGAATACTCAAAGATTTGTTTGAGTCTAAGTCTGAGAGTCATCGATTAAATTGTTATTAATTTCAATAGAATAATATTATTGTCGAATCAGTTCCTGCTACTCCTAATGTGTACGTGACATAATGTCTATCAACAGTTTACAAAATATTTTTATAAATGTGCCGCACGAGGCTTTATGTAACGGCGAAGTGTTATGTATACTACGAACTTATCGCTATTATCTCCAAAATATTTATGTATGATTTTGAGGACAAATCAATTGTTGAAAATATTTTCCAGACGATCAACACCTCGTGATTAAAAATTCCAGTTTGCATACTTGGTAATGTGCCATATTGCACTTTTGCGCTGAAAATTTTCGAATCAATAAGAAGTGTATAAGTTTCTCTATCGATATCATTGACTCCAATTAATATTATATTTAATTTCGCTTTGCATAAAACACTTCTTCCTAATTAGCAAACCGCTGGATATTTATATATCATTAATTTCCGCCATCATAGTGCACATAACCTGATGCTTTCTGTTTCGCTCGCTCCTGGGGTAATGTGCAAGGCTCAGACAGATAGCTCTAATTGACAAACATTAGGATACTAATTGGGAAACACGTGTTTACTCTGTTAACATCGCTTAATTTGGCCATGGCGACTACTACTGGGCAGAAGGCACACGGCGTACAAATTACAGGCCAAGTTGACTTTGCATGTCAAAAGTCCTAAAACTACCCAATAAATAGCAAGTTTTCGCATTCCTCGGGTGGGCAATAATCAGGAATTACGTATATCCCAACAGTCTCTATTCATATTTATTAAAACCAAACTATCTTCGAGTAAGGTCCCGGGTGAGGTGGATTTTATAGGAAATAAAATTCGTCAAAACTACCCTAGAACTGCACTGTTTTATCAAAAGAAATATTATTAGTTCTCGAACCGTTTCGAAGAGGTAAAACCCTGGATAATGCCAAAACTAATGACCGGTGATTTATCTTGGTGAGCTTCCGGTATCTCTTTTGCGCCACCCTTTGATATATACGAGGGATTCATTAGCTCTTAATCCTAAAGTAACTCAATTAGAACTGGCTGTCCCACTCATAATTTATATTGCAAACTATTTCCCGGGTATATATTTCGTCTTTAGCATTCTGTTGAGTTATCTTCTGATTTAGGAGAATTATCTGAAACTGTGTTGAACTTTATATTTATTTCAAAGGGCGGAGAGAAGAAAAAAACAATACATTTCAGTCTTTTTAGATGTTTTGGATTGAATTTTTAATACAAATATTTTTCAGTCTTTGTTTTATAGACCAGGAGTTAGACGGAAATGAGTATGCAAAATGTGAGGACCGGCAAAAATGCTCAAAACCCTATTCCTGTGATGAAGAATGGGAAAGTACATGTTGCCGGCAGCTGGAGTGGTCCCTAACTGTCCTGCCATTCCCCAATGCAAATATATATTGAAAATATCACAATTTCATGTCATTTCACAATAATTCCTATTGATCCCTACGACCTAAGGCTTTCTTCTCAAGCCAGAGGCGCCCGCAGAAAAATATGTAGGGGGGGTCAAACAAAATCAATTGAATACATTTTGCATGGATAAGAAAGGGCACTTCAGAGTCTGAAAAATCATCATAAATAAATATATAAAAAATTTAAAATATTCTTTCTAAAGCACCTATCTAAAAAATCACCAATTCGGAGATACTTAGGTAGGTATACACGGGAATAATTTGAAAAGTAGTAATCGGGAATATCTCTTAGACAAAAAAAAAATCAGGAAGATCTCAAATACGAATCGAGGGATTGGAGGGGGAATCAAAATGAGGGACTTTTTGAGTCACCCCGCCTCACCCCAGGGGGTAGGTACCAATGAAGGAAAAAGGTTTGGGTTAGTGAGCTTTGCGTTATTCAATTGATTCCAGAATGAGATAGCGCTAGTAAGGGCAAGAAATCTATTGGATCTCCCATAACTCTCACCCTAACCCTGAGTGAGATAGCACTAGTTAGGACAAGAAAATCTGATGGATCTCTCCTTTTCTCTCACTCTAATGTTGGCCGCAAAAATATGTATTGAGTAGATAGGCAAAGGGCTATTCCAACCTTCTTACTACATCCTTCATTGGTAGTTACCCTAACTTACCTACAAACCTACAAACCTACCTTGCGTTGCGTATCGTTGGATAGCTCGTTGCTTTCCCTTTACAGTCTTATAACAAAATCTTAAATCGTAGGATTAGTTTTTGAGATATCGGTCTTCAAAAGTAAGCAACATTTTTGAAAACTATAGTAATTTTGACTATCCCTAAACAAAAAAGTCTGTCATAAAATCTCAGATACACATCGAATCGACCAAATAATGTGTTTATCACTGCTTCTACACGCCTCCAAAGAGGAATAAAAAACCTTTCAGAGGAGGTATCACATGGAGTAGTTTCTCATTTTAGAAAAATTATTAGGGGCGGCCCTCCAAACAAGAGGGGTGGGGGTTAGGCAATAAACACATTTGATTTCCTCTATGTATATTTGAGACTTTAATGACAGAATTCTTTTTAGTAAGTGTTGTGTATGTACGTTAATGTATTTTACTTTTATAATGAATTTATTTAAGGGCTAAAAATACGTACAAATAAAATGACAATTTTTATAATGATAGACATCAGTACCCGTTACTGGTTATAACAAATATTCAACAAGGTAAAAAGGTATGATATATAAAACTAACTAAATAAGAACATAACAGTAAGAGATAGTCAAAATTATTAGTTTTCAAAATGTGCTTACTTTTAAACATTGATATCTCAAAAACTAATCCTACGATTTAGAATTTGCTATAAGACTGTAAACGGAAAGCAACGAGCTATCCAACGATGTGCAGCATAAGGTAGGTTCGTATTGAAAAAAATAAGGGTAGCTACCTCCTAAGGGGTGAGACGGGGTGGCTCGAAGAGTGCCTCATTTTGGTTCCCCATCCAAGCCCCGAATTCCCCTGATAAGTATTTGAGATCTCGATAGTATTTTTTGTCCAAGAGATATTC